CTTTGAGTGTTTAATCATTGTGAGTTGCTCCTCCTTGGTTATTATGCTTTTATTATATCTAGCAGACAAACATGCAGATTGTTCGCGCTCTCTGCTGTCGTCGTCTGCGAAAGCACTTCACTGTCTTCGCCCGGGGCATGGCATGCATGTTTTCGGTATAGAATAGTGAAACATTTCCTGTTTCGCTTGAAACGGCATGCAACCAGCGCAAGCTAGATGGTTCTAGAAGTGCTTAGACGCATGCGAAAGTCGTCGTGTCCCGTACTGCCCGAGTGGATGGTTCCGCTTGGGAATAGGTGGCCACGTAGAATTTCTGCCTCTTCGCAGTTTTATGTCTACGTGTTTGTTTTAAAACTGCGAGAGATAAAAAGGTCAGACCTGGTCAGGACGTCTCGTGGGAGTTGGTCCTCTAGGTGTCTGAGACAGCATTTTTCTGCACAAGGCTTTGTTTGGCTAATTCGGTTTTTTTTATGTATTTCAGGTTTTCGTGGATTTGGTGTGCAAGAGGATGAACATATCCGCCTGCCAGTATGCCTTGCTTTGCCGTTATAATAAAGTGCCTGCACTCAATGAATTCCTTTTCTACGTGTGTGCGGGAAAAGAGACGTGCGTGGTGGGTCGCATGCTTCCAGCGCAGACCAGATGTTTCTGAAGCTGCTCTAATGCATGCCACACTGAGTGAACCCTGTTTGAGCCCGTCCGTTAGCACCGTCGGGATTAGGAGGGTCCGAACACGTGTGGAATTTGAGGTCGTTTAAGTAGCTTTGAAATGGGGTCTTTCTGGACTAGTTGGTATTGCTGAGATATCAAGTGTGGTTGCGTGACCCAATCGGTGAGCACAGTTGGCAGACGTGAGCTAGTGCTAATAAAAAGCGTGAGTGACTGCGTGATTGTGTTCGTTCAGGAATCGGTGTTTAGTTTACTGTATAAGCCAACTCGCCCTCTTGTACGTGGCGCACTGCCAGCACATCGTTCACACTAATTAGTTGATGGCATCTGTTGACCAATGGAAAACCATTTGGATTGCGTTTGACACCGAAAACGGTACCTGATATTGCAATGAATGATCCAGCAAACTGAATGCGGTTTGCTTGAATTGGAACTGGTAATACGGCCTTTCTGATTCACAACCCTGTTTCACTGAGGTCATACAATACACCGTCAAAATCTGACAGCGCCATGTGCAATTGCCCCTCGCCCAAATGACATCTTCTCTGCTGAGGCACAGTTGGAATCAGTGACCTTCGATAGAGAAGCATATAAACTAGAACCTCTCTCATGACGCGGCATTCACCACGGTTGAAATGCTGCTACTTTCGTTCATTCTTGCTCTTCACACTATATACGTGTTTGGTCGATTTGTTATCAATGCAGGTTGGCATTCATTTACTGGCTGAGCGTGTGGCTGTCTGGTTTTGATTAAAATCGCTTTGACTGGATTAGTTCGCTTCCGCGTGTATTAATTCTTGTAAAAATCCTTTATGTAGATGTGGAAACAGATCGATGAAGCCTCGTGAGCTTGAGCACAGTGAATAGAAGTGCAGTGGTTCTGCAAAATTTGAAGGGGAAAGTCTCAGACTGCTTGTCAAGACAAGCGTGCATACCTGACGACATTTCCTTTCATGTTGGCGGAAACAGCGGTGGACACTGGGAAGGCAGAATTGTCTTTACTTTCCGCAGCACAGCTGTAGACAGTCCAATAGTCTACTTCTGCGATTTACTCTGCACATACCTCGAACTCGACATCACCAAATGCATCGACGTGAGTATTTTAGTAGCATATAATTCGCAGATTAAGTTGAACCTCTTCTGTAGGTCAGAATATAGGCCATCTGTGAGGTTTTTTAAGCCAAAAATTGCTCAATTTTTAAATCCGATTTCCTATTGACCATATAATTTGTCTCTCAACTTTACAGTTACCTGGAAGTCGTCGTCAATCTCGGAGCTTAGGACGTGTCCACATTTCCAACTTCGTCGTGCATTTGACCGCCCAGGTCAATTCTGCAGGCCGATTGGAAATCATACACAGCAATTTTTGCTCAAAAGCGACAGGATATCATCCAATTCTACTTATCCCAGCGTTAACGAAGCCTTTAAAACACTGGGAGACTTCATCCTTAACTACTGCTAAATTAGTGTGGCGTGAATTTGTTTTCGAAATATCACCTAAGCCAATTAATGATTAGTGTAATGAATAAAGATGTGATTTGACAGATCTGCTTTTGTTTTGACCTCAAAGTAGTCGACCACGATGTGCCGCTCTGTTAAGCTGATCACATCTAGCAGTCCTCGTTCGTGCTGGTGGAAGTAGAACTAAAACTTCGAGTTGCGTCACAAGATGCAGTACATTTTTCCAAGCAGCCACTTATTGTGTATCGGTTTGTCTTTACTTGTAATGGGAACCCTATTAGTTCGATTGAAGATTGAATCACACATTATTGATTCAATGCTGATTTTCATCATTCGTACACAACCATGAGTTCAAATTAGGCGCTTTGCATAGCCAAGGACTGAGTTTGTGCCTCTGTGCATCAAATAGCTCTCATCGATTCGTAAAATGGAATGAATCTGGTTAAGCACCTGATGTTCAACCTTTATTTCTCTACATTCACCTTCTTGACATATCGTTGGATCTTTGGAATCATCTGTAAATGCTTACTCGTTTGTTCAAAGGTGTTATACTAGTCCACGATTACTAACGACTATAAACTGGGGGGTCCTTAAGCGCTTCTAAACAGGATTATATGCGGTAGAACATACAGAAAGAAACCATCATCAATTAACCCGATTGCAATTGATTACATCTCTTATTCATCCTTGAAAACACAAGCACAGCGCGATTTTTCATTCATTCTCATCTTTAGGTTCACAAACTGTGCGGATTGGTAAAGTGGTGTGTCAAGCTTTACGATTATGAATTAAAATCAAATATTTTTCTGAATCTGGATTTGTGCGATGTCTATGCGTTTCTCCTAACATATTTCATTGGATAGTTTTGGTCACTCAAGATTGTTTGATGTTGGTGTTGCTGTAGTGAATCCAGTTCATTCAAGTCCATAAGCATTGTCATTACATCCGCCGCTAAGTAACAATACCTTTAACAGGATTCTTGTCATTCGTGCACAGTTGTGTGATCATTCACTTCTGCGCCTTTTCCTGCCTATCTATCCGATTCAGCAATTTGACAATGGAATCTTTTGTACATCACTTACTTCAATAAACCAATCATGATCAACAACTAAATTAATCATACACAATTTCTGAAACATACGCATACCACCATGGATCTAATAGACATTTGGTTACATCACCTTTGTCCTTTTTATTATTATAAGAAATATTGTTGCGTAATCTGAAAGTAAAACGTTGCGGTGCCTGCATATTTTATGACCATTTCTTAGTGTTTAATTATATTGAACTTCAGCTTTGTAATAATTCAATTATTTGTGACAATTTTCTATGACTTTAATTTTTTTCTGTTGACAGAAATCGCTTCCAGGAAGTCATAAGGAAAAGAGAAATAAACAGGCTGACAGCGCGATTCTTCACAAATCGCCAGGCATGGCAAGTTCTCGTGACTTTGAGTGCAAGCTTAATCATAAAATACTTGTTAAGTAAAAACAGCCAAAATGAAAGGATAAAACAAAAGCCCTTCTACATTCACAAATCATTTCTCGCGAACTCCACATTAAGGCCAAGGAGGACAAAATTTTAGTTGATTGGGAGGAACATGAAGGTATCACGAACGCAATCAGGATATGCTAATCTTATAAAATGGCTAAATGTAGACAAAAAAAATAAAAGAAATCTGGCAAATTGCCGGTCAAGTTCGTGGATGTGCCATTGCAATTTTCAAATAATTGGGCTAAAATCCTGTATTTCCATGAGTCACGCCCATTTACAGAAACTTTAGCAAAAAGTATGGATTTAAAGCACATGCGTCACTAGCAAAAATCGATCACAATTCCTGATATCAAGAGCCGTTTAGTTTAAACTGCGCAAGTCATAGACTGGTAGTTAGGTCAAATATGGGTGTAATCATGCAACCATAACTTTAAAGTATAGATACTATATCTTTAGACTAGTTTCAAAAGCTGATAAAATTTTTTAGAGATGTAAAATTGTAAACTTTGTTCGTGCATATCAAATAGAACTCATTCGACGAATGTACCAGATTTCTGGCGCTGTTGATTGGGTGTCACTTTAGCGGTCTTTTAAAGGAAGCTCACATTTCTTTTTGCGTATGTCATACCTTTTTTATTTGGCGAATTTCCTCGATTAGACTAGCGGCCTGAACAACCTGTAAGCTTATAGCACATATCGTAATTATGTGGCACCCGTGTCATGTATGTGCCTGTAGAGTGCATTCCGGAAATCTAGCCTTCCAGTTAGAAGACTTTAGTCACCTGTCTGTATTATCTGCTATAGCGCATTAGATGGATCGTGCCTTTTGTGTGATAAAATTTCTAACTTGAAAACGGTGTTGCATAGAATCAAGATGGCATCACGTGGTTGTAAGTACTAATTTTGGCAATGCATTCCTTTGCAATCTCTTAATTTGTTGTGGATGGTTTGTATCACATTTCCGTGGCAACTATGTGATCTGAAAAATCTGCAATTTCCCTCAATTCAGTGCCCTATTTTGTGCTTTTGCTGTCTTTATTGAAAGCAAATCTTTGCTACGATGATCTCGATACCCCGCAACAGTTCAAAATTATTAAAAGACGCCTTGAGCATGCTATAAGTAAAAGGCATTTTTTTAATAATTTCGACATGGTTGTGTTCAGGTATCGCAGCTTCATTTCTTTTTGGGAGGCAATTAAAATAGCATGAAGAAAGCACGTTTTGCACTAAGATGCAAACAAATAAATGTGGCACACATGTATCAGACTTGTTTCGCACACCAGTGTGCATTTTCGCAAATTTTCGAAATCCTGATCTACACTCGTTTCTGTTTTTACTGGTCCAGCATCTGTGATAATTTTTAATTTTTATTTCAGTTTAACTCGGTCCTGTCAGTCATGCAATCAATGATTCCAAAGCGTGAAATCGGTGCTCTTGATTTCATTGAAAGGAACTCTGAATATGATGGAAGGGGTGTAGTTATCGCCATTTGGGATACTGGTGTAGATCCAACTGCCAGAGGACTTCAGGTTCGTCTCGGGTCTTTAACATGTTCTGCTTTTAGGTTACATCGCATGGCTTGCCAAAAGTCATCGATTTCATTGACGCGAGTGGGTCAGGTGATGTGAAAATGCTCAAGTCATTCAAGATATCCGATACCGCTCGAAGGATTACTACACTGACTGGTCGCGTTGTTTCTGTAAGTTAATTCTCGTCTGTGTGCCGTGTACTTTGTAATCCGTTGTTTATTATTTATTTTCCTAATATTGTTTTATGACAATGAGGATGGAGGAGGTACTAAGTTGCACATTGTTAAAGTGTTATCGAAATATCGCTTATTGTGTCAGTTCATAGTGAGATCTAAGGAACTAGAGGCTGCCGGACGTAGTGAATTAGTAGTGTCTGCATCTATTTCAGCTGTTATTTAATCCTCTAACTGGAAATGTTAGGGAAAATTTCCCTAAGTGTGGTGTGCTCTCGATTGTTCGTGAATTCTCATATCGCAAAATGCTTGGAAGGAGAAATACGATGCGACAAAATACTATAGTTTATTTTTAAGAAAATCAAAACCGACTGAAATCGTTCATTTGTCATACTTGTGTATTCGTGGTCTGATAGTTTCTCTGAGTGTTTGTTGAGAGATTTTTTTAAAATAAAGGTGCTTTTACTTCAGATATTGCAAGCTTTTAGTAGTTGAACATGTCTTCATTCCTGTCCTAGTGTAAAACGATGTCGTGGATACATTTAATATATCAGTTCTCTCTTTCTGAAAGAAATATTTACAGAACACAATCTAGGCGCTAGGCTAATTAATGCTATATTTGATGCTAGCATGGTGTAAATTAACAAACTTATTGGAGTGCGCGAAAAACAGATTGTTTTTTTTTCATCGGGGTTTTTAAACACTCAAGCGATTTTGGGGTAAGGCATTTGAGGGGAATGTGTTGCGTGTAGATTCCGAAAACCTGGCAACCCGTCGATGGCATAGTCCGCGTTGGCGTAAAGTCGGCCGCCGAACTCTTCCCCGGCGCGCTGCTCGACCAACTCCGCTCGGAGACCATCGACTACCGCTGGTGCCCCACGATGCAAAAGTTGTCGGCCCTTTTGAAAGAAGCCAACACCTCAAGCGCCAATTCGCCAGTTGATGTGGGGGCCTCAAGTGACGTTGGTAAGCTTGTTGATTTAAGCGTTGTGTGATTTTTAAAAATAAGACCTGCTTGCTTCTGTTGGTTCCTTGGCGGGGTCTATATATTGCTCCAACAATGCTTAGTCCAAACTACCGATGCTTATCGCTGTCAATTAACTCGCCACTCTTTGAAAGCGGTCGATTTGGTTAGAGCTTAAAAATGTGGTTTAGCTGACACTCTAAATTTCGCATTTTTTCAGGTTTTAAAACTGCTCAATGAAAGTTTTGTGTGTGTGTGTGTAACAATGGGCTATGAATCAATCATCTTATTGTAATAATTGGTTAAATTTTGGATACATCGCTTCAATTTCATGTTTTCGTTTCAATCTGTTCTGCCTTTTCAGGTAAGGCGCAGCGTGCCTAGCCTTGGTAGAATTAGTTCTTGAACTTTCCAAAACACATCTAATTGCGGCTGTCTGGTTGGGTTTTTGCAGAATGTCACTCCACTGGTTACCCACTGCTTGCGCAATTGTGACGCCTGCAGGCACTTGGCAGGCGGTGATTGGACAAGTGGCAGTATGATGTTGACATGCCACGCACTGCTTACACTGCCTTCACTCATCCTGAACCTCACTAGCATTGACCTCTCTAAAATACTTGTCAGTAGCCAAGTGCGCCTTAAACTGTGATTTCTCCACGCCGCTATTATTGATATCCCGTGTAGAATGTGGCAAGTAGTCCGCACACAAAACCCATTCTTGCACGGCGAGCTATCAACTTACAGTAGCCAGTGGTAGCACTTTGGCTGCTCTTGACCGATACAGATCTAGTTCTCACGATAGTTGGGGTTATGCATGCGATTAATTCATGCAACTCTATTAATCACCTCTGTGTGTTTACCTGGGTCGGGTAATCGCACTATTCACAAATCAAATCACTTTTGGGGTCATTGTTTTTGTATGGCATGTCCAGGGTCAGTGCTGTCCGCCTTTGTATCGATCCAATACCCTGCCATTTCCGGCTCTACCGGTATCTCGAGTCTTTCTTATTTACCTTCAAATTTTGCTCAAGTTAATTGTACTCGTAATTACCGACCACTAGAATGCCCGCGGAACAATGTTTGATTATCACTAACGTATATTCCAGTTCCAAATGCGGTTGATGAGAACCAGGCCAACGGCGGAGAAGCACCGTCTGCCGCCACAGCCGCCGACGATGCGTCGTCCAGTGGAACCCCAACCTCAAGCTCCTCTCCCGGGAAGGTCAGCAAACACGCGGAGGTCGACGCTCCACCGAATTTCAAGACTCTGCAGGAGTGGCTTGCCTCGCTTCCTAACGTATGTAGACATGTAGATTTTAAAGATTTTCGACTAATATTTGGTCCCGGCTCTTCCTATCCCAACTCCCCTTCACCGCGGATTGCCAGTCGACCTACAACATTTGGTGGAAGGAGTTTGGAATGAGGCCAGAGACGACGACGGCGCGTGTGTCTGGCCTACAAACCAACCAATCGGATGGCTGCGCGAGCTCGCTAAATCACTCTTTACTGTTATAGGGACCTAAACAATCCTCTATCAAGTCGATGGAGCGCATTTTGGCCACACTGAACGACCTGACCGAGTACTTTGCGCCGGTTTTCGACTGTTTCGTGTTCAAGGGCGCCGATGGTGATTTTGTGTATGTTCGACTTGTATTGCCCCTCTTGTTTTTTCTTGTGGCGCGAGTAAGAAGGTCACGTTTGGGACACGCACAGTAATAAATGGCGTGGCCAGCATCTGTGCCTTGTCGCCTCACCTCTGACTTTGACTAATAATGACTAGTTTTTCTGAGGCAGGATTACCTAGTCCCGACTTGGCTGTAGTGGTTTCACTAAATTTTACAATACCAATTCTAACCTTGTGGTTAACCCATTAGGTGTTATTGCAATTGGTTCGGTTTGGGTAGTTCCGACCTCTTGGAATCCTTAAACGCCGACATTTTATCCACGTTGGTTTGGTTTGTGCGCATTGGTGTGGATACCTTGGATGACCACTTCAATTTGGCGCCGGTGCTTGGGGTTTCGTGTAAATAAACTTGTAGTAGCTAGGTAGCACCATCTTACGACCCTACTAGTTATCGGTCTTGAAAAATAAACCGAGAAAGGGGCAAGACGGACGACGATCGTTTATTGGCGTCACGGCAGCCAAGTGTGTCTTCGTGTGCGGTTGAGTACGCGTGCGAGTCATTGGTACAGTCTGGCGAGTTAATCCACATCACTCATCCGAGATTGCAGGCAGTCCAAACAAACTGATCATTTTGTCAACTCAGCGACCTTGCTTTTGGTCCCACTTGACCTCCTCCCTACGCTTTACCTTCTACATTTCACTTCTCGCATTTGCTTCCATCAAATCCACGTCTTGCGCGCTTGCAAATGCTTTTCCGAAAATGTTACGCGACCGAGTTTCAGAGACACCGCCACGAAGATTCCGATATTTGCCGTTCCTTTGGAGTGATGTGTTCGTGTTCTTTTTCGTCTAGTGCCTGTGTGGATACGAGTCCCTATGAAGAAAAACCAACCACCTTGGAGGATATGCCGCTAATGAAGGACTTCACTATTGACAGGCAAATTGGCCAGCTGGGCAGTGGCAGTAAGTTCCCCCCATCGTGCATCGCGCGCTACGTGCATGCTTGCTTTTTCTGCTCTCCCACTCTCTTGCTCCCCTCTCCTTCAGCCCTCCTGTACTTCACGGTCAAAATCCTGGAGGACGGCAATCTGCTGCAAATCGTGACCAACTCCGGCTCCCACGGGACCCATGTGGCGGCGATCGCGGCAGCGTGCTTCCCCCCGCTGGGCCGCACCGACGCCGCCGCCGCCGACCACCCCAACATCGACGGGGGCAACCAAAACGGTGTCGCGCCGGGCGCGCAGATCGTCAGCATCAAGATCGGCGACACTCATCTTGCCTCCATGGAGACTAACGTCGCGCTCCTGCGTGCTGTATGCGTCCTCTTCACATTGTTGTCTTTTTCCGTTAGTTTCGCTTAACAGATTCGGAGTCGTCATTTAAAGCTAGGCAAGGTGGTCATTCCTCGAAATCACCCAAATTGGCCCTGTGACAGTCCACATAGTTTCTGACATTAAACACATTCATAAGAGGTCTGTCGTAAAAACAACTACTCGGACGCCTGCGGTATTTCGGTTTGTCGATGTTGGCAAAACCAATTTCAATCGATGACGAATCAGAAATGAGACAACAACAACGTTAAGTATCAGTCGAAGTCGAGTCTGTAGCTCTTGCCAGCGGGCAAGCGATTTGCGATGGTGGACGCGTTTCCCGGTTTAAACGCATCATGTGTGACTCTAGCAGCCTTCTCAAATCCGCGTGAGCTCAAGTTTGCACAGACACACCCAACTAACAAACTTTCACACTTTTTGAGCGTCCTCATTTGCGATGACCCTAGATTGCAACTAACTCGGTCACGAGTGCCACCTCTTTCTAGATTACAAGGGTCTTTTCGCTGGGCAAAGTCACCGAGAAAAGCACTAGGGCAGGGGGTTTCAAATGAAGAATCAACTTCCCGTTGCTATGGTTCTCGGTGTTTGTCTTTTAGATTAACTGGACGGTTAAATTGAAGTGTGATGTCGTTAATTACAGTTTCGGGGAGAAGGCCTTTCTGCCGCATTTTGGGTGAGCTCATTTGCACTGTTTTTGCGTCAATCTAGTCGTGGCACAGCCGAATAGTTTGTCCTCTTGATTTCGTCTCTTTACACCTGGTTTTCAGTGTCACCTGTTTGCTTCTGATCCTGCTGACTGGCCCATCCTTTGCTCAAAAACCCTGATTTGTGCGTTTTTTTAACATTCCACTCGCTTTATATCCTATCGTGCACGGAAGGCGCGTCTACAATCACTTGACCCAGTTTGTGATGCAGACCAACGTGGCTTTCGTCACCTCAGGGGGGAACAACGGACCGTCATTGGGCACTGTCGGTTCCCCAGGTGGCTCCGTTGATGGTCTAATAGGTGAGTTGGTTTTATCGTATCGTCCATTGCCCAATTGCACTTCGTCTCCCAGAGGCTCACCGTATTGGTTGCACAATGTCCAATCAGTAATCAAGCAATATCAACCAATCGTGTATCTGAATCGATACATTTCAAATAAATTATTATTTTTCCCCACAAGGTGTTGCTCCTTTGCTCTTTCCAAATATGATGGAATACATGTACTGCCAACCCACGTGGAACAAACAAAAAACGGACGACAATGTAAGTTATTTATGCATAATCATCGATGTTTGTTTACTATGACCGTCTCCTTCGTTCGCCTTGTAATGCGCTGCCATGGATGTGATCCACCTTGGTAATGGACAAGGTCTCTCAATATTCCTCCGCCTCACTAACCAGACACACTGTTTTCCAGACTTCGTCCCCCAAGGTGTCTGGCTCCACCGCACCACCTACTACTCCACTGCCGTCTGCCTACACCTGGGGATCACGTGGCCCTTGTCCCGACGGCTCCTTGGGACTGACTGTCGCGGCTTGTGGAGCCGCCGTGGCCGACGTGGCCGCTTGGAAGTGCAGCGCTTTCGACCTACTCAACGGCAGCTCAATGAGCAGTCCGTCCGTGGCCGGCGGCGTAGGTGAGTTGGCCGGTTATTCCCACTGCCACTCAACCCAACCTGTAACGAAGGCATCCCGCTGATTCTGTAGCCCTGGTGTTGTCGGCACTGCGTAAAGCCGAGTCCGAACCGTGTCTGCGTGTGCCATTCATCCTCTGGCGTGCCGCTATCTTCGCGTGCGCCAAACCCCTGCTCCACCTCTCGCCGTTGGATCAGGGCGGCGGTGTGTTCCAAGTTGGGCCGACTTTCGACTACCTCAGCGCTGTCATCCGCTGCCCTCCATCTACGGCGTGAGTTTTCAGCAAAAGGGGATGTGTCGCTTTACAATTTTTTTAGGTGACAATGAAACTACTCTCATCTTCCTCCTTCATAGACCCGACCCAATGCAGGACTTGAAAACTTGCGTTAATCAAATTAAGTCGCCGTCGTCAACGACGGAGGCTTCGGCCTCCCAAGCCACTAATTTACATCGACTTTCTGGTTGGAGGTTGTGTACCTACGTGACTGGACCCAATTGCATCGCCGATAACACCAAGCACCTCCACACTCGAGGGATTTGGCTTCGCAGTGGCTGGCCTTCTCGCTGTCGCGACGCTCACAAACCCCTTCCCAAAATATCCTTCACGCTCCATCTGGAGCCTCGTTTTTGCCAGGTGCGCGTGTGTGTAATTCCTTCTACCAGATCCCTCGCTACACCGACCCAGCGTGTGTTCATCCTGGATCGTAACTCATGACGCATCACTGCATCGTTCACTTGCCGCGACCTAGTCCACCTAGATAGCTATCCTGTCGATTAGGTCATGACAGCAGTTGAAGTCATACAAGTGTTTGTTGAGGCTCTTTACCACACGAAGTAACCCGTTTACTAGGCAGCTCAACAAAGTTGTATCGTGTACTTATGCAGTTGAGTGGACATATAGGAAAATACGGCGTCTTTAGGTCACATGACTAAAGCGGGTGGCGGTGGTGGTAAATGCAGAGGGGTTAATGAACCGGCGGCCTCGCGTGACTGACGGGCACGCCGTGAAAAGGGTGGAAGTGTGTTGGAATCTGCGACGGCTGGGTTATTGGAGGACGTGAAGCAACACGATTCACTACATATTTATCGAAGGTCTCAGGACAAGGACGTAACCACATGGAGAGAGCCTTTACTCTCTCTCTCAGTGATACACCAGAATGAATAGCTCATATATATGCCTTGAGTAACCTTGATCGAGTGAATTGGAGATTTTCACGCATGTAAGAGCTGTCGGTGTGGTGTGACTATTGAAGTGCTGCAGTTAAGGCGACTGTGTGAAGCGAGAAAATAAGTCAATTGAACAGTTGTACGTCTGAATTTCACTAAAAGGATAGTCAGACGTCGTAAATAGCCTATTTTAAAAAGCTCATTTGGTTAATATTGCAGGGTGTTCCGGTCGAATTCAAACGCAACTTCAGCATAAACCTCAGCGTGCAGGTGGGCTATGATCCGCCGAACGAGAAAAGACCAGACTGGCTCTCCATCGCACCCTACGTGATGCTGGCGAACCGTGCTCGTACAATTCCCCTTTTAATCGATCCAGAGGCCTTCGGAAAAGCCCCCACCGATGCCGCGGAGTTGAATCCTCCGTCCCAGGTGCATCACACGTCTGTCGTCTTCGTCAATGCCGACTCACCCCAAAAAGAGATTCTTGCGCTGCTACCAATCACAATCCAACTTCCGGGGATGTAAGCAAAGCTTTTATACTGGTGATTGGCCTTCTTTGAAAGGTCGCTTACGTGGTCTGTTCATGCATACCAAAACGTTTTTTCCCAGGTTCTCAGGCTACACCAATTCCAACCAATACCCATGGGTCGAATCTGGCGATATTTTGCACAGCTAGTATGAAACTTTTGGGTTTCCAGACGTCGCCAATGCTAGTGGTAATTGTCGTCCCGCCCAACTGCAGATTCGACGAAGGCATGTAGGCAGTCGGGCAATTAGCAGAATATCACTCCACTTGTACTGGCCTAGTGGGAAGGCGTCTTCTGATTAGTGGAGAAATGCGCCTACGTTATTGGTTAATTGGTGGTTTTCGCAGCCTTCGACACCCGTTTGTCTTGCTAAAGGCCCCGTTAAAAAGTTAGCCTCAAGATGTTTGACGGATCTGTCTCCTGGGTTACGCAGACTTCCGCACAGCCAGCTTGGAAAGCTGTGCCTCGTATTAGTGGATGTCTGTTGCCGATTTTGAACACCTCTTTCGACTTGGAGATGCTGTTTTTCCAGGTCTTAATCTCCAGCACTGTTGGGTCCCCGATGGTTGTCGTCCAAAACAGACGTCAAATCATGCTAAGCTTCTCTACGCAAAATCCCTCTGTGACGATATCCTGTTTGTGGCACACGCGCACGTCGATATTGCAAACCGGATTAAGTCCACATCTTGTCTATTTACTTGGTGCAACCTTAGGTCGCCAAATTTACTTTAGTTGTAATTCTGCACTGCGTTTACTGCTTGCGTTTGCTTTGAAACACCTTGAATGGCCTAATCAAGCTAATCTCATTTGCTTTTAGTATGCGTGTAGTCCAATGTGGCTGCTTCGTATCCCCTTGTGTAATTTCTTCCATTTGTTTTTTTTTTCTGCATGCCTTGAAGATCTCGCTTTGATGAAGACAACGGCGTCCATCGCTTCGGCCTGCGTGGAGAATTCACCCACACCCAGAAGGTCTGTCGGTGGTTTGTACGAATTCCTCAAGGCTCCAGCGCTGGTGGTACGTGGGAGTCTTTAAGCTCTTCTCTCTCCACTACTTCAAGGATCTTTTCATCATATCAACAAGCTCGTCCGAGGTTCGATTAATAGACTGTAAGGAAAGCCATATACATAGGAGCGGAATCAGTGTACAACATCGACGCAGGTTTAATTCCACGACACAGGTCACTCCAGCATGACGACAATTACCACTATTGCAGTATCCGCGAGTAGGGAACATTGTCCTTACGTGTGTCTACTTAGCTTACATGCCGCACGAGTTAGTGTCTGTGACTTTCGTTTGTAGTTCTGTACGTACGACGCTCCGACGAGGATTGTGGCACTCCCTGTCCCTTCACCATCTCCATCGTCCAACCAGCTCCCCTGGGCAGCGTCCAGGGCACCGGTCACGAGGTGGTCCACCGCCGTGTCAACCTCTTCTCTCTCACCTCGAGCGGCGTGGAAGTGACAACGCGCAGCGCCAACTACGACCACGAGTCGGGCTACTTTGTCTTCCCGTTTGTGGTTTTTTGGATCTCGGACACCGTCGAGGTGACGATCGCTCAACACCACGGAGCCGATGTGCCGTCCAGGTGCTTAATTAGTGGACACGTTGACTTCCATGGCCTGGAGATTCAGCCGTCAACCATCTCCTTTGTAAGCTCGTGCTGCACTTTTTTTCACCCCTTTTTTCGTTTTTACTCCGAATATATTCCCATATTTGCTATTTTTGGCTTAATGCACTGCAGCATCTGTGAGTTTATGTGGTTCTTTGTGTGTGTGCCTTTTTGCGGCAACTGTTTAGCACTCGTGTCAGTCCTACTTCAACGCCTACCTTCGCTCGAACTTCGGCCTGGAGGGCACCAAGTGGGAGGTCGAGTCGACGGGCTGGATCTTGCCAGTTAAGTAAGTCACATCAACGCATCACCGTGCTCCACGGTATTGGTAGCCCGCTTGTAGCTTTCAGCTCTTGAAAGTCATTTAACTGAAAGTTGATTGGATGTGTCGCTTTCAACTGTCACAGGCCCACTTCATCCAACCGTACGTACCTCAAGTTGGCCGGATATGAAGACGATTCCCCTGGACAGCCGGGTGTTCACGTCCTCCACCTCGAGTACAACTTTTCTTGTGTGAGTCGCCTTGTTTAATCAGTTCTCCAGTTTTCATCTTAATTCACCACGATCAGGACCAACCAACGTCCATCGTGCTTGAATGCAAATCATGAACCGTAATTCATGCAAGGGAACCGAAATAAATAGCGATATCACACATTCTGGAAGCCTCCGCGGTGTGTCCTGAACCCACACTGAGGCTGCAGAAGCCCGAAGAGGCGACGAAGATGGCTCCACGCATTGGTATGCGCGGAGGTGTCCGTTTAACTAATCGCTGCGCCGACCATCGTGGACTGGACGGAGACGCGAATTGTCAAAGATAGTGAATTACCGAGGTGTTTAGATATGCGCCGGCATCATGTTCCACTACATTACTTCTGCTAACGTTGAAGAGACTATAAGGCCACCACTAAGAAGGCAGTACACCGTTGTCTCGCTGGGATATTTAACCTTGACACGGGTCTCGACCGGCGTAAATCCTTGTCACTTGTTGCTGTAGCCCTTCAAGACGGACAAGGCCGTCTTCGACTTCAGGCGCCTTACTTCCCTGCTTTACGAGGCGGACATCGTCCAGGTCGTCTACCACGTCTACGATGGATGTGGTCACTACAAGGGCGCTGGATCGTACCAATCCGTAAGTCGCTTTCCACCTCACCTTGGATTACGTTTGGCTCCAGTTGGCTATTAGCGCACACGAAATAGTCCCTGTTATTATTCACAATCTTAAGCAATCTCTCTGACTGGCGTTTAATTCCCTTCGTTGTAAAAACGACTGTGACGGGTTCATGGTCGAAGGCTCTCGGTCCAGTTCTACTCTCTGTGGTTGGCGTTTTCGACGAGTAAAGCATGTGGTGGTCTGACGGAGCTCACCTTTTGCAGATGCAGTGGTGTCTGGTTCGATTGTGTCGAGTAGTGCAATCCCTCATTTTTGTAGTTTCTGCATAGGATCAGCCTTGAACCCCACCAACACTGAGGCCTTTTTCGAAATGAATCAATTTCGCAGATTTCGGTTTGCGGTGAAGGCCGAAGTTTCATATTGCGTTTACTAATAACCACAAACACACTCGGAAAACCAATTTCAAAATCCCAAATAACACGCCGCAATGTGGCACTTTGGCGACCTTGTTAATAATGCGAATGCTTCAATAACTGTCTCATTCTTAAGTCAAACGTGTCCGCTGCGCATAACCAAACAGTTGGAAACAAGACGATACCGCTTGTGGAGGGAGTAACTAGATGGCTTTTTTGTGATTACGAGGGTAATCAATGCTTGACCGCTTCGATGGCTGCCTACTCATGAGCGACATTGATATTACATCTTCTGCATTGTCACAAAGTCACCTCGGTCTAATTATTCCACCCAGAACTCACTTTGATCGCCTTTTCTCTCTTTCAGATGACGAGCCCCAAGTACCGCTTCAAATTAATCAAGGGACCCTACAAGCTCGTGGCAATGGTAGTTTGTTTTCAATTCCTCGGTTTCGCCTCTAACTAACACGTGTCCTCATGCAATGTCCTGTCCACAGGTGTTGTACGCGGACAGTAAAAAGATCGCCTACGAGGCCAAGGAGAGTGACGCATTGGACAAGCTGCGCGGCTACCCGATGCTCGTTCGATTCCCATTGGACAAGGCCAGCCAATCAGCAGCACCCAGCGGCGGTGGACAGAATAGCAGTGTCCGACCTCAGCTCACCCTCGAAGTCTCCACCAGCCTCGCGACCCTCGGTCTGGCCGAAGTCGACTACGAAAAGAGTTACCGTCTCATTAGCGGTGCTCAGTTGGAGAGGGATGAGGTGGCCGAAAATCCCGGTAAGAGGGGCAGCCCCAAGAGGGACCTCCTCTTCGGCAGCCTCCAGAAGTTCCCCACCGTGCCCGGTCACCTGTCTGCTGGTGCCTCGATCTCCGTGGTTTTCGGTGTGGTCGAAGAAAAGTACGTTGTTGAGATACCTTTTTTTGTCTACCGGTGAATTGTGCTAATTTACGTCCATTGCCTTTGTCGCGCCGTGTTCTTGGCCACAAATTTCGGTGGGTTGGGAAGAAGAATACTCGGGCGCCCATGAAGCTCACGAAGAACGCTAGATTTGCGGTCCTGAGTGATTTGGCCAACACGACAAACCTCCAGACGATGTGTTCAGACGTACCCGGAGCAGACTTAAATTACTGGGGCAATTCACTGCAGATGTAGCCTTGGTTTACCAAAAGACCTCACACCTGACTCAGTGTCTTTCCTTTTTTTCTGCTTTACCTAGTTTCGCTGGCTACGCTGTGCCTGGGTCGTATTTCGAGGGAAACATACACTTCTACGGCAACAGGAATCTCCAAAACACGGTTAGTTCTGTTGATTGCACCCTTTTTGCAGCAAAAACGTCACTGAAAACTCGATGAGGCCCTCACCGCGTACAGCAAAGTTCCTTGCATCAAATTCCTGCAAGACCCCTGTCGATTAGCGGCTACCGCCACTGAAAATCTTCCACATACTTCCTGAAGTTTAGGTCTGCCTTTGTGTAGTGGAGAGCCCTAAGGACCTCCTGAACGTAGTCCACCCACAAACAGCCCCATAGCCGATTTGTGTTCTTTCTCCACAGGCGGTAGTTCCGTTTGAGGTGCACGTGGGGCCGAATAATGCGCCCACAGCCGTCCCACCTCCGTCACCGAAGCCCACTCCCGTTCGGGGCATTTTCGGTCTGCTTGCCAGCGACTTGCGCAGTCTTCGGTGGGTCATTGACGCGCATTTCGGCGCGCCGACCTCCTCCGCCATCGCCAATTGGGTGCCCCCTTGCCTCTCTCCATCATCCACCACCGCCGCCGCAGCAGCGGCAGGTATTTGCGGGAGTTCGGCTGATGCCCGAAAATGTCGATGAATCAAAACAATTAATTCTGCCAAGTCATGTGACGTGTGGATTTGATGTCACATGGATTAACAATCACCGAGCACACAGCCGTTTCGCATTGCTTCGAGTCGGTTTTAGCGAACTTCAGTTCTGACGATTAAAGCACTCGAAAATGAGCAAACTGGGGATCATTATCTAGAGTCTAACTCGCGGTCGGTTCTCACAAACCCAGCATTAGAACTAAGTCGCATGTTTTTCATACGCTGGTACAATCGACTGCGATGTAAGCGGTTACTATGACATTTAATTGCCCATCTTTGATGCCTGGATCCATCCAGCAGCTGATGGTCAGTGGCAGTTGAGACGGCCGTTTGCTCGGTGGCTCAGCTCAACTGCATAGGCACGCTGGGTTTTGTTAACTTACCTGCATACTTGGACGTGTTTGCTCAACCAATGGGGAACGGACACTCGTTCTTATTGGAAGGGCTGAATAGATTAATTCTCTCTTTTCACCTTAAAGGTTCTTCCGACGGCAAGTCAGCGTCAGTTAAGGAGCGCAAAAAGAAGCCCAAATGCGCCCTCCACCAGGTTTGTTTTACTTTTTTTTAAACATAAAGTGTTCGTTTTGAAATACACAAACCAAGCAAATCAAAGCTCCGTTGCAGTCGGGCGTCAGGGAACGCATTTGCCATGTGAAAACCGATAAGTTAATTTCTCTCCTTTGCAGAAACCAAGTGATAATGCCGATAACAACGACAACGCAGACACGAAGACGTCAACAGCGGTGACGCCGTGCACGTGCATGTCAAGCCACGTCAGTGCGCTAGTAGATGCCGATGACTCGACCAACGCGGATCGCGAAGCCGTCTGGAACAGCGTCAGGGTCGCGATGCGGAGCCTAGTGGACGCGGCCACCAGTCACAAGTCCCCAGCAAAAAGCGACCCGCTCGCATTTCTACTGTCTACTCCCTACGACGGCGGTGACGTCGACGACGGACTCGGCGACGTGCCACTCCTCAATGCCAAAGTGCCAACCCCAAATGAAGGGGATTTGGAGTCTACCTCAGAGTAGGCATACTCGGAACTCTGACGCTCATTAATATGATTGCATTTGGTTTCGGACTCGACCACTAGCGTTGACGTAGCACAAACTGGATCTGTTTGACAGAGTCTGTCAACCCTAGTCACCCAAATTGACCATCTGTTATGTGGGCGCTTCTCATCCCTCCTTGTGTCTGGTTGGTTGCTTCGAGGAGGTGGTGAGGGCAGGGATACACAGCTGAAGGAGCAGATTAAAGTAGCTGAGAAATGCTTGCAAACTGTGTGCTTCAGTGATGATTGCGTAAAGTGGGGACGTTGTCGCAAAATCGGCCAATCGTAGATGTCGTCCTTGATCGTACGTCGTGCAGAAATGTGGACACCAAAAACACTGATGGCTCACAATTCGATGATCAGTACTTCTGAGGAAGTATTTCATCACAAAACACGGGTGTTGAGGACTTGGTGGGTGATTAATCATTGCTTCATTTGGCCGTGTGGTTTTAGGGACGTCACGAACATGGAATCTCCGCCACCCTCTACTCCGGCGGTCGAAAGCGCCACAAAGACACCAGAAGACACCTTGGAGAAGTCGGGTCCTCCTCACCCTCCCCCTATCTCTCGTGTTCTCGCGGTCGAGGTCCTCTGCATCTACGGTCGGTACGTCTGTGAACGTATCGTCATCTACCGCCAGTGTCACAGCGGCCAGCAGCCGTCGCGCCTTCTCTTTGCTCTCGACCTCGTCATCACTCGCCTCCATCAACTGCTGTCGACATTAAAACAACCGGCAACACCAGTGCAACCCCTAAAGAACTTCTTTGACGTCGATGATGGCGCCAAGTTGTCGAGTGCCGTCAATCTGAGCCAAGCCGATGCGGCCCGAGTCAGAGCCCCATTCTGTCTCTTTTGGCTGGCTCAGTTGATTGTGTTACATCCTCAAATTCCCCTTCTTGAAGCTTTCATTCGACTGGCTTTGCAGGTAAGCCTTTGAGTGGGCCCAAACTCAGTGAGTAGTGGTTTCGCCCAAAACTAATCACGAGGGCGTGCAACACATGGTTTGGTCAAATCCCAAAATTTTGTAATAGGACACAAGGGGTTGTGTGACATTTCGAAACTGTGTCAACATGCAGAGAAACCTGAGTGCTTTACATGTCGGACCTCATTTAAAGCATTCGCTTTGGCTTCTGAACAATTCCTTGTGTTCTCAAGAGATCCAAATAATTGTTCAAATAACGTAGCTACCATTTTAACCAAAACTCGTGGCTTCATTTGGATTTGTATGTTCTTTGTGGTACCTTTCTCATCTCTAGATACAGGCAACCACGGCACACTGCCCTTGACTTTAAGCCCCTATATACAGTCACACTTTTAGAGGGCATGTGTTTGAATATCAAATTTTGCCAAAGAATATCAATCCACATGTTTGTCTGACTTGATTGGACAAGTGACAGTTTGATTAACATAGTCCCTTCACTTGACCCCCAGATAATCCTGTTTAAAAAATGTCTGCAGTGAACAATTAATGGGATTTTTGTTACTCAATGCATTTTTAATTTGATGTATGCCGAGGCCCTACTGTTCATAATCTAGAACGCGTGCTTCCACTTGTTAGCGCCTATTTTGCCCAATCCCACAATTAAGTTTCGGTTCTTGTTTTTAGCTGGACCCGCATCCGGCGAAAGCGGGATCAACTGCCGTCACCTTGGGCTCACCGCAAACCGACCACACACGCGAGAGAGCATCATTCGAGTGCGCCAGCATCACCTTCCCATGGATGGTAGAGGTAGGATACACCTCCAACTGCCAGTCTACAGTAACCCTCCATGCTCCTTACCCTAATTACGAGTTGCACACTCAAATGTACAGTTGGAAATGGGGATAGTAGTGCAGGTCACGTGGCACAATCCCCACCACTATTTACTTTTTACCGAGATGATGCTTGATCGTGCCTTCCCAACTAGCCATCACGTTCCTTCAAATTTTAGCAACTACGTCGAATGGGGCTGGGGAAAGTGGCGGAACCCTTGGCACGGCAGATGCCCTCGCGATTTCCTGCTTTTGACTACACTCTCATGACTCCTCGTAGCCCGACCTCTTCCTCATCGTCAACCCTTCGAGAACAATGACACATCTCGAGTCTACTCTAGTTTCGCTATATCGGCTTTTTGTCGCTTTTAAAAGCCTAACTTTCCTGATGTTCACAATGTTTTCGCTGATTTGAAAAGAATACACTGTGTGGTGAATTAGCCCTTAATTGATTTTGAAACTATCGAACGCGTTGCAGGCTGTTCTGTACTTATTTTCGGGCAGAATATAAACTCAGGGCTTGTTGTCGATAAATTTGACTTTGACGGATTTGCAATTATCGAGAAGAAAGTACAAGGCTTGTAAACATCCGTCATGCACCCGTTTAACGACATCTAGTAGATCCAACGTAGTTGGCACAAAGGTCGTATTTGTTATAATGTTCTGCGAAAGCGCATGAAGTAAGCATCACATGCACCGTATGGCAGCTATTGCCGGTAAATGTTGGAGTAGCTTTTATAACCCCGTTTTAAGATCCACTTACAACAATCTTACGCCATTACATAATAAATAAGATATATGCGGTGCCATGTTTTGACAGACGTGAAGAGTATACATTAATTCGAGGCCGGGAATATCCAAGACGAGAAGTGATTAGGATCCTACCAAACAGTTGGGACGCACATGGAACAAGTCAAACATAGAAGTCACTCAAGAAGGTACTGGACTGATACATGTTATTCTAAATGGATTGACGAAACATGTTTAAACCTACCTACAAAATAAAGGGTACAACACAGTTAGCGCACAAATGGGCGAAGTCTGCATCTAATCCTCAATTGCTTCCAGTCCCTAAAATGTTACATTACTATTGGAAAAAAAACCTTCATGCGCCAATGGGTTCCGGCGACGTCGCGATCTCTTACAAAAATTGCAAAATCTCCCCGGTTATGAAAGAAATCAGGGCCAGACCACTATATATGAATTTAAAAACAAAACGAACTCACTCGTTTGTAAAGAAGATACGACGTAACCTTGCATAATGGGTTCATTAAAGCAACGGCGCCCATCATTATAGCAAACGACGGAATTATCTCGTACCACATCCTTAACCTGTTCGGTTTACGGTCACGAACACGAGAATTACACACGAATTTGGGTTATATTCGATTGGATAGGATTGCAGTCAAAAATAGATGCGCCTCATCAAAGAAGTAATATAAAGAGTAAACAAAAAATATTATAAAAATGTATTAATTTCTTATTCTTGAATATAAATTTTTAAAACCAAAGCTTAACAAAGGAATATTCAAAAAAACCTGCATTAAGCAATTGTGGGAACAATAAAAAAAATAATAAATCCCTACATTTGCTGCCAACGATAAGCAGCATTTCATTTTACCAAAACCTTTTCGGGTAAATTGCTAAACCTAGCAAGCGCTTTAGAAAATCAAACTGAGGAATCAAGAAATATCACATTAAATTTTTGCAATTGTTACAAATTATATTGGCAATATTTACAGTAAATTAAGCAGCGAAAACAATTGAGCGATTCTAAATCAAAGGCTTAGAGTGCGCAGGTTCGTTATTATTATGCGATGCGATATATTTTTATTCCATTATTACTACAAATAGGTGGCTTGAAACCCTGATAAACAAAATTTTACTTCTCTTCAACTTTGAACAAAAATCTCTATTAAAAAGCACATGCATGGATAAAGCTGCTGTATTTTAAGTGCGGTAACACAAAAAAATACAGTATACAGTGTAAACAGTGCTAACTTTAGCAAAATCCTTCTTAACTCATAGCTTGAAATTGTAGACCCTGTCTATCGTAAACTAACAGGCAGGAATGGCCCCTCATTTTTGACTACTTCTAATCATTCCATTTCCCTGGGTATTTGCAGCTCATCCTGATCATTCTCAGGTACAGGGACAGATGATTGGCTGTGTCAGGTTGTGACCCAATGTGTCTGCACACTAGTTCGAAACAACAGAATACTCGAGCCCTAGTTTCGAAAAGAATAGTATAACAAAAAAGGCATTATTGACCAATCGTTAGACACATCCACACGTCAGGCGCGTCTCACCAATTCAAACACGCTGGCCGTAGGCTCGTAATATACTCCTTCTCCTACGTGTCAGTTTCTGGTTAAATGCATATATTCCTCGCATGTCATTGGAACGCATGGAGACAGAGGATTAGCTAAAGCCGCCGCTGTCCAATATGTCTGCTCCTCTATACGTTGCAACTGTCGAATACCCAAGCCCTAGCATGAATAAGACTGTTTCGACAAAACAGGCTTCATTATTTAATCACAAGCAAGAACCACAAGTCGGGCACCGCCAACCGAGTGAACCACGCTGGCTACGCCGCCCAGTATATGCTGCTCCTCATTCGTTTCTTTCTCTGGTTGGCTGCCTACATTCTTCGCATTCCACTGAAATGCAGACAGAATTGTCTGAGATCAGCGTGATCCAATATGCCTGTGCCATTTTACGTCGCTACACTGCCTATTACTGCGTTATTCGAAAGCATCCCACTGTTGCCAACAAGGTAGAATACCCGAGCCCTAATAGGAAAAAGACCGGTACAACAGAACAGGCTTTATTGACCAATCAGAAGCCAGAGCCACACGTCAGGCTCCTTCCATCCGAGTCCTCCACGCTGGCCACGCCGCTCATTATATACTGCATCTCATCCATGTCCTTCTCTAGTTGGCTGCCTTCCTTTCCCGCATGCCATTGGATCGCAGAGAGACACGGGATTGGCTGAGGCCAGATGTTCCAATATGTCTGCACCCTGATCCGACACCACTGTAGAATACCCGAGCCCTAATAGGTAAAAGACCGGTACAACAGAACAGGCTTTATTGACCAATCAGA